ATAGAGCCCATCGATCCCGAAAAGTCCCATCTGTCAATCTCCAAGTTTAGTCTAGTCTTTTTTTAAATATATATATTGTGCTGCCCTAGTTTCACATATTGACTCGGTGATGGTGTGTTCTGTTTAACCCAGTGGTTTTCCTCTTTAAATCTAAAACAGAACAGAATCTCCTGCAGTGAATTCTCTAAGCCTCTCTCACTACCACACTTAGTTTTAAACAAGTTCAACACTGCAGAAAGCAAGATCGAGGCAAGTTGAAATGACCTGTGGAAGTGTGTTTTTTCTTTAAGGTTCAATAATTTGCATTCATTGACTTGTGAGCTTTTATTAATATTATAATGTTGCTTCCTCATCAAAAACAGACCTGGAGTTGTGTTTTGTTACATCAAACGTTTCAGTAATCCTTATTATTAGTCTGTCTACATCTCCAAAGCTCAAAATGCTCAAAATCATACCAAAGTCCTGCACTGATGATTTGACCCTGGACCATTTGTGCACATTTGTTTACGTTTTACTTAAAATCACATGGCTAATTTGCATAAACTATAAGTGCTGAAAAAACAGCTCTTTCCTTGTGCAGCTGATGCGGTTCAGCTTCTGTCAGACTAAAGAACACGACTTAGTGGAATATGAGTGTTCTTTCTGTGACAGAGAATGTGCTGATGATGGTGAGTCTGTTCTTTTCTTCTGTTGCGTTGGAGGTGGTTCTTGTTAAACTTTACACAAATGCCAGTTTTAAATCCTCGCCTCCTCGCGTTGTTGTGCAGAATTAATTTGCGGCGCATAGACCTCACCGCAGATTCATAAATTGAAAACGCGCTGAGTCAACGCAGAACTATACTTCACCCTTAAAATTGGGCTTTAGGAGCATTGCAAAAAAACATGGCTCCTAAAATCGTGTTGTCTGAGGTCGCGATTTTTGTTGAGCCCTAATGTACCCTTTAATTCAAGCTTTTTTGTTTCTTCTTTAAGCAAGGAGTTGTTGTTTTTCTGTGTCTGTATTTTCATATTTTAAGTACAAAAAGTCTTGTTTCTTTGGTAAATCATTTTATTTGTCAAGTGACATAAACTCAAATCATGATAAAAACTTTCTTAATTCAAGTTCTTTTTGCAGTGAAAAGCCCTGTGTGTGTGTTTGGAAATCAGATAACCACAGCTGGATTTGTTAGCGGCACAGACCTAACGTCCCCCATTGTCCTTTTGTCGTTGGCATGTTTTAGCGTTGTAACGTTATCTGCGTGGACAAAGCCTTGGAGATGGCAGAGGAGTTGGCACGGACAGCAGAGAATGTGAAGACTCCAGGCAAGAACAGGGCTCCATAAATCTGCTGCTTTTGTGCTCACCACAGGAAAAAAAAAAAAGTAGAGCACGGTTTGGGGAAAAGAAACTCGTCTCTATTTTAGACAGAAATTGAGATTTTGATTAGATAAAAATGGAAATGATTAACAATAAATCCATTGTTGAAGTTGTAGAAATAGCACATTTAAACCCCTTACCATTCTTGTACTGTTTCTTACTTTTGGCTGCACCAGTTTATACTCGAAACCCATAAAAAAAAATCACAAAAGTGTAATGGGAGTTTTACTAGTATATTGCGTGTACTTGTGCAGCCCAGAGGGAGACTGGACTTGGTTATGTAAGCTGCCCCCTGCTGTTTCTCTGCGGGATCACCAGACCTGCTCCTCTTGTTTGCTTTGGCTGGACTTTGGGAGGACTTTGGCTGGTTTAGGTGGTGGTGACCAGACCATCTGACCCAGGACACTCTCTGTGGCAGGGTCGCACCTGCTCGTCTCCATGGTGTTTTGCCTGGAATGTTCTAAAATATTGCATTAACCTCCTAGGACCCGAACTCATGCATGTGTGTATTGATTTCTCTTCACTATTTGGGCTGATTGGGACCTGATGAATGCAAAAACAAATTATATTTTTACATGATGCAGTTTCTGAGAAAATTGACGTCCACATGTGATTTATAAAACATATCCTGGCCTCCAGGTGCTAGGAGGCCACACTGGTTTGGTAGCTCACCTGGACAAGTCAGATCTGTGGAAAGTAGGGATGGGCATTCGATAAAATTTTCTTAATCGATCATCGGGAGAATTAACGATCGTTTTTCAACATCATTTGTGTTCTTATATTAAAATTATCATCATTATTATTACTAATCTGCATAAATAAACTCAACTTTACAACATATAAACCGTAAACACTGTAGAGCCACATCAGCCCGTTTGACATTATAATGTGTTTAATGCAGCTTTGACACATTTGTTTACTTTTTACACAAACAGAACTTTAAAAAACATGGCTCATTTGGATAAACTACAAGTTTAAAAAAGCAGCTTTTTTTTGTGCACTGATGCGGTTCAGCTTCTGTCGGACTAAAGGACACGACTCAGTGGAATATGAGTGTTCTTTGTGTGACAGAGAGGATGTTGATGTTGATGGTGATGATGGTGAGTCTGTTCTGTTTGTGTCGTGTTGTAGATGGTTCATGTTTTCAGAGATCAGACGTGTGCAGGTTTAGCGCAGCTCTTTATGTTGCAGTAACCGGCGTATAGATGCACCGTGACGAAACCGGGACACTGATGTGCATGTAAACACTGAGCCCAAACGTGGGACTGTGAGACCCGCAACTCCAGTGTTTGTGTCAGACACAGCCTCGCCTCCTCATGCACAGCAACCTACATTTGGTTTGTCGATTAAAAATGTAATCGGCAAAATTCTTCATGATTAATTATCAATTAGTCAACTGATCATGCCCATCCCTAGTGGAAAGGCTTGTGTGTCTGCAGAAAGACTGCAGGAATTTTCAAGGCGTTTTTGAGTGATAAAGAATACTATAAATTGAATTGAAATGCAGGATGGATCAGTTAAATAAATGCTATACTGTGGAACATTCCAGGCAAGGCATCTCCATGGATACAAACATATGGCAATAAGATTACGTAATGTATCTTTGAAGGCGCTGTACCTGATTTTTACATTCTTAAAAATGTGAAAATCAAAACTAGTTCATTTTAAACTGTTTGGTAAAAGCTAATTTGCAATTCCTGATTATCGGACAATAAAAAGTTAATCAGATGCGGACTTATTTTGACCTTAAGAGCTGCTTATTTCATGTTTCTGTACTGGGACAAGACACATTTTACTCAAATACATGGTCGTGGACAGGGCTTTAAGCTAAACTTTGGAAAATTCCACTGCACAGACTTTTCCACACATTTAACTTCACACTATGGATTTATCGTTTTAAGCTGAAAACAGTCATAATAAAGAAATATGCTATGAAGTAAAAAAAAAAAAAGAGATTTCAGAAGTTCTTTGTAAATCGTCTTTTTATGGCGCGAGTGGGAGAAGTCGTCTTTTGTGAATCCCGGGACCCTGAGCCTATAGAGTGTGGAGTCTGAGGGGATACGCGGAGCTAATGAGCCATTCAAAGTATTTAGCATCAAATGGCTTCCTCAGTCATGGTGGTAACGATGTTTAACTCTGCGGCCGCGTCTCATTTCTCTCTCCTCGCTTCCTTCTCCTGGATTCCTCTCCTCGATCCTCGAAAACATCAGATAAGAGAATCAAACTTCATTGGTCCGAGTGAGGAGTTTACTTTACATCCTCGCTCCTCGCTGTGTCTCCTCTGTGGGCGGGACTTCCTCAGCCCTTTACTGCAGAATCGAGGAGAGGAGTCAAAGAGAAGGAAGCGAGGAAGGAGAATTGAGATGCAGCCTCAGTTCAGTGTGCTTCTGTCTGAAAAGGCCTGGTTTCTCCTTCACGGTCAAACTCAAGCTCCAGTAGAGCATTACAGAGTTGGAGAGTGTGTGGACAGTGTTGGGAGTAATGAGTTATGAATAAATATTTTACTCGGTACAAATGTCAGTAACGTGCGTCCCAATGCTTTTTAACCTGGATTGAAGTGGTGGATTTTTTGTTTTTCTTTGTACAAATTTGCTAAAGTCACCGCGATATCAGTATCGGTGAAACGCCATCGTTACGGTTCCCAAATGTCAAGACGGGCCCGATCGAGCTTTGAGGACACCCTGCTCCATGGGCTTGGGGTTCTCTCAGGGGCGGTCCTAGATTCGAAGTCCTAGTTCAAGATTAGACCTGGTTCAGTCCATATACGGTGCAGAAGTTCAGCATTTTCACATCTTCGTTATTTTGGTGAGAATTTAGGCGGGGACTGAGGCCGGGACTGGAATTGAGGCCTGGGACTGGGACCGAGACTGGGACCGAGACTGGGACCGAGACTGGGACCGAGACTGGGACCGAGGCCGGGATCGAGGCCGGGGACGAGGCCGGACCAGACTGTGATTGAGGCCGGGGCTGAGGCTGGGACTGGGACCGGGACTGGGACCTGGGACTGGGACCGGGACTGGGACCTGGGCCGGGACTGGGACTGGGACTGGGACCGGGACTGTGGGACCAGGCCGTGATTGAGGCCGTGACTGAGGGTGGGACCGGGACAGAGGCCGGGACCAGAGTGTGATTGAGACTGGGACCAGACCAGGACTGAAAATGGTTTAATCCTGGTTCAGTCCTGGTTCAGTCCTCGTTCAGTCCTGGTTCAGTCCTGGTTCAGTCCTGGTTCAGTCCAGCATCACAGTTTAAGTCACGGAAACAGGAAACAACTGTTATCTGTTTTTTCCATTATTCATTAAAACACAAAATCGAAAACTGAAAAAACAAATCATTATCTGTTTTTTCATTTTGGTTTTGGAGACAAATAATGAAGAAAATAGTTGTTTTTTCGTTTTCTTATTTTTGGTATTGAAAAACACATGAACGAATGATACACGGGTTATCATGAGAATATCGTACCGAGAGATTTGGATATCGTTACATCCCTAATAATAATATAAATACAATCTACCACAGTTATGTACAAGACGTCTTAAAGAAAACAGTGCAAAGACGATACGATGTTTGACAGAAACAGGCTCATCTGTGACATAAAACTGATCTCTCAATGTTATTTTTTCCGTTCTGTTCTCCTCCAACAGGTGGCGCCAGACTTCTTCGAGTACTTCCGCGCGCTCTACCCCATCCTGCGCGACGACGCCTCCCTGTGGTGCGTGTCGGCGTGGAACGATAACGGACGGGACGCGCTGGTGGACCCCTCCAAAGCCCACCTGCTCCACCGCACAGACTTCTTCCCCGGCCTGGGCTGGATGCTGCTCCGGGACCTGTGGGCGGAGCTCGAGCCCAAATGGCCCACCGCGTTCTGGGACGACTGGATGAGGCAGCCCGAGCAGCGCCGAGACAGATCCTGCGTCCGGCCCGAAATCTCCAGAACCATAACGTTTGGAAGAAAGGGCGTTAGCTTAGGTCAGTTCTTCGACCAGTATTTACGCTACATCAAGCTAAACACTGAATTCGTGCCTTTTACCAAGCAGGATTTATCGTATTTACTGAAGAACAAATATGACGAGAAGTTTATTATAGAGGTCTACAGCGCCCCCTTGGTGAGGATCGAGGAGCTGCAGGGGGGCAAGCTGAAGGAACCTGGTCCGTACAGGGTGCAGTACTCGAGCCGGGATAGTTTTAAAGTTTTCGCGCGAAATTTGGGAGCCATGGACGATTTGAAGTCGGGAGTGCCACGGACAGGATACAGGGGCGTGGTGGGCTTCCTGTACAGGGGGAGGAGGGTGTACCTGGCGCCCCCCGAAGGATGGACGCAGTACGACACGAGCTGGAGCTGAGTGGAGGCTAGTCTTCGAAACGGGAGCGGTGAAGACCAAAGACGAAGAGCAGATGCTGACAGGCAAGAGGAGGGGAGAGCTCAAAGTGTTTAAAAGTTTTTGAGTCCAACGAAAATGTTCATGATAATAAAAATGTGAATAATGATATAATGAATAATGATCATGCAAAAATGTGAAGAAATTAAAACATAATGAATGGGATACATTTGGTTTAGAAGCCAAAATGCTGAAATTTCCTCGTCACACAGAGACCTGGAGTTTTTGTGTCATTCACACATTTTACGTTTAACACACAAACCCTGCAGATTTAGGTTGAGTTCTTCTCTCAAACTAAAAACACTCTGTTCCACCTTGTGATGTCATGTGGTAATACAGGAGGTGCTCTGTCAAATTTTTAAACTCCGTACACCTTCACTAGATTCATTTGGATAATTTCAACCCTGGAATTGCTAATATCGACTTAACTAAAGTTAAAAGTTAAAGCCGTTTTATAGTTCTGTGTCGACTCAACGCACACTGCTGCCGTCGTTTTTGATTTATGGTTCTGCGTCAAGGTCTGTGTGCTGCGAAGTAATCGTCACAATGCTAGGAGACTAGGATTTAAAAATGGTGTTCGTGTTTACAAAATGAAGCGGGAAAGCGGAGTACCAGAAATGTAGTGAGGACCAACAGGGTTCCCACAGTCATGGAAATCCTGGAAAAGTAATAGGTAGATGGGTAGATAGAATGAAAATGTAATTTTCCAGGCCGAGGAAAGTCATGGAATTTTAGTATTTCTTTCACGTAACTCCAGCGTTCTGTTAAGTTCTCATTAGGCTATTCTGATTATTTCTGAACATCTGCGGCTTTTGTTTAAAAGAGACGACAATAAATGCACTGACAGGATTCTGAATGTTAAAAACTATAATCCCAAACCATAAGGTGAGTGGAAAGAGTTAACATTTCATCTTTTAGCGCTAAAACTCTGATCAATTCTACACATGTAGGTGCCGTAAAGTCATGAAAAATTCACTTTAGGTCATGAAAAATCATGGAAAAGTTTAGAAATTTTGTCAGTGAAAAAGAGTGGGAGCCCTGGACCAATCACAGCTCTTATTGTCTGCGTCGCTTTCCCTTATTGTTTGCATCAGTTCTACACATAGTTAAAACATTTCTGAGGTGCATGTGGGTCGACGTAGATGCTCAAGACCATTTGACCCACGACCATAAATTGGGCTTTAAATGGTTCATCACCACAAGGTGGAACAGAGCGTTTTGAGCTTTGGAGATGTAAACAGACTAATAATACAGGATTACTCCAACATGTGTGAATGAAACAAAACACAACTCCAGGTCTGTTTTTGATGAGGACACAACATTTTAATAGATCAGAAAACAGTTGGGATGCAACAATATTCAATGTAATATTGAATCCTTCGATACTTATCTCACGATTCGATACACATGTTCCCTCGATGTGCCATTTGTTTTCATTTATTTTGGTCCAAAAGGGGAATGTGGGATCCTCTAAACCGCTCCATAGGGACTTCCAGCTACACAGCTTTAGAATCGCTTTTGTCTTTACATCGGCTTTAATCAAATGTGCTCATGTACGCACTCGCAATGTGACTCACGATATACACAGTCTTTTTCTCAGATTCTATCTCATTAGTTTTACTCAGCAAACAGTCTGTTGAGACATTTCTATGTAATATACCACAGTTTTCAGAGTGTTCAGAAAGTATTGTGTATCATGTATGTATTATTTCATTAACGTCATAGGCCCCGTCCACACTAGTCCATATTCGAGTCGTTTTCGTTGTGGATGCAGTGTTCCTTCACACTAATCCGAATGAAAACAGCTCCAGAGATGAAACGATCTGGTACTGCCACCTCCCACAAATTCATCTTACAGATCTGATCCGGCACTGCGTGGACGCCTGAAAACGTTAATACTCTGATGTAGGTTTATGCGTCACAGCCAACACGCTAAGAGGCAAGAATATATGTCCATTCATATAAACGTGTGTCTGTGTGTACGACCTGCAGACGTATAATCTCTGAAAAGTTTCACGTGAACCATCTACAACACGACAGAAGCACAGGACAGACTCACCATCAGCAGAACACCCCTCTGTCACAGAAAAAAACATTCATATTCCACTGAGTCGTGTGCTTTTGTCCGACAGAAGCTGAACCGCATCAGCGCACAATATCGAGCTGTTTTTGAGCGCGCAGTTTATGCAAATGAGGGTTTTAAGTTTAGTTTCTGTAAAACGTAAACAAATATGCTCAAAGCTGTGTGGACAGGGAAGGATTGCGGACACAGAAACGACGTGTCTGGATGCAGATCGTGTCCGATACGGTCATACACGGATTCATTTCAGTGTAAACGTAGCCTTAGTGTTTCTATATTATACACATTTTTTTGCGTCTGAAAGCGTATCGAAATCAAATCAAAATTGTGACGTGTGTATTGAGATACGTATCGAATCGTGGGAAAACTGTATCATTGCATCCCTAGAAAACAGAGTAATATAGTCTCTCTTTTTAATCCCTTCTCGAGTCGTGTCCCCTCCTCTGACCTGTCTGAGATTCTGGGATGAGCTGATGAGAGAAAAACCTGCAGAGTGCTGGACTTGTGGATCTGGGTGCTTCTTCAGGACTAGATTTAAACAGGGACTTAACCAGTGTTTTTAAAAAAAAGAGTTCCACTTTCACACACAAGATACTGGCACCGTGCCTTGGTCCTGGGCCCATCTGCTTACAGTGTTTCATGAGTGTTAAAGGGATAGTGCGGAACATTTTGATTGGGGAGTGTGAGCTGAAAAGTCACTGTTAAAAGTAACGATCCAGATATTTGCAATTTAGGGAAACAGCAGGAGCAACGAGGTTCAAGTTTGGGTTCTTGTAGTAAATAGAGCTGGTACAAGATCACAGTGGTGGAAGAAGTACTTGATTTTGTTACTTAAGTAAAAGTACAGATACCAGAGCAAAAAATACTAAAGTAAAAGTAAAAAGTATCATATGAAAAATTCTACCTAAGTAAAAGTATTATAAGCACCTGTTTAAAAAATGTACTTAAAGAGCAAAAAGTTAAAGTATTTCATGCAGATTTTGAGGTCTTTATAAAGCTTCAAGTGTACTAATTTCAGAAACAATTTAATCGATTTTTTTCCCCCAGGTGTTTTGCTTTGTATATTTTAGTTTTTTGCTCAAATTTTGTGTTAAAATAAACCTTCCCAAAAACGTAAAAAAATACTTTTACTTTTCAATCCTGTTCAAAAATGTAGTGGAGTAGAAAGTACAGATACCCGCTCTCAAATGTAGTGAAGTAAAAGTAAAAAGTATCCACTGTAAAAAGTTGAATTTTTAGGTATCTGTACTTTACTTGAGTACAATATTTTACTACATGTACTTCAATACATTCCATTATGTGTTAAAAATAAACTTTCAGCCTTTTCAACAGGTCCCAGTAATAAGAAATACTTTTACTTTTTATTTCTGTTCAAAAAATGTAGTGGAGTTCTGGGAGATAATTAGTTTCATCAGATTTTTTGTATTATTTTTTTTTAAATGCTCTTGAATTTCTCACTTTGAATTTTTTAATGTGTTTGAATTATTTTTATTCTAAATAGCAGCTGGTGAAATTTTAAGTGTACATGTTTAAAATCCAATAAATAAATATTCAGCACAAATATTTTCAAGCCCTCAGATTCAACAATGATCCTGAAAATGTATAATTAGAATTTCAGCCACTAAAATTCAGAAAAAAAATTATTGAAACATCTTTTTTCAGAGCTGAAGTGAGAAATTTAGCGGCATTTAAAATTCTAAATCTGACGGAACAAATTGTCTACAACCTGCTCTCAAATGTAGTGAAAAGTAAAAGTAAAAACGTATCCACTAAAATGTACTTAAGTAGGATTTTTAGGCATCTGTACTTTACTTAAGTACAATATTTTACTACTTGTACTTCGTTAAATTCCACCACTGGTCCAATCAGATTGATTTCAGTGACACAAGTGAAATGAACAACCGTCTTTTTGAATTTCCTGTGTCATTTATAAACAAAATCACTTTTCTGTCTCCTCAGATGATTCTGCAGAAGTCATCGTGATTTTCTTTTTTCTTTTTCCCTCGTATGCAGCCATATTTGTGACCAAATATTAAGCAAGTGTGTATTCAAACTGTTGGGAAATTCCTCAGTTTTTCTTAAATTTTTCTGCAAAACAACGTGAACGCTCCTGCTTTTCCATCTGAAGCTGCACTGGTTCATAGACAGAAAATGCAAAATAACTGGACTATCCCTTTAACAACCCATTAAAGACGCTGTACCTGATTTTTACATGACACAAAAAACAGAACTAGTCAATTTAAAACAGTTTTCAGTGTTATCCCTCATTTACTTTTTGCATTCAGAGCACCCTAATGATTCACCACGATGAGTTTTTAATCTCTTTTCACAAATTTCAAAGACCAGAGTAGAGTTTTTGTGAAGTTAACAACAACTACTACAACAATTCCTGGTTAAATGCTTCATAATTGGGTGCAGACAAGTTTTATTTTGACGTCAAGAGCTGCTTATACGATAAATCTGTGCTGAGAAAAGACGAGTTTTGCTCAAATCCATGGACAAAAATCAGGTACAGGGCCTTGTAAGTGTATTAAACTCCTCACAGACCATTAAAGTTTGAGAAAAAGGGTTCCTGAATTCCTTCTGTAAGCTATTTTTTATGGAATTTTGGTCCAACTCCGGGCGTGTGAAGTTTGAAAGACTGGTTCAGATCACATGGGGTGTTTCAGAATATATGCAGTGCCATTAAATACACAGCAGAATGTAACAAACAAGCTTCTCTACATCGTTTTCATGTGACTCTAAACCAGCCCAGACGTGATGTAAATGAAAACATGAAGGAACACGTGTGCTTTGTGAAGGCTATTTGTGGTAAATACATGAAAAATAATACTTCAGATGAGAATGCAGTGTGTAACAGAGGACGATGGAAACAGGTGAGCGCGATCTGGTGAAATGAGACAATGTCGGACAGTGGCTGTGAAGGGTCAAATGAGTCAAATGAATCAAATAGAATGCAAGATCTAATAATATGATAGAAGATAATACCGTATTTTTCGGATTATAAGTCGCATTTTTTCATGGTTTGGGGGTTTCCTGTGACTCCGGTGCAACTTATGTATCAAAATTTTCACACTGGGAGGAAACTCTAGGCTTGTATGTCAGTTTTCAACACATGTCTCCTGCAGAAAGAGCCTCTGTCCTGCTGCAAGTAGAGAAATATGCAGCTGAAAATGATAATCGAGCAGCAGAAAAAAGTTTGGAGTGAGTGAGAAACTTGTGAGGGACTGGCGGAAATCGGGGATGAAGAACACAGCTTCACGGCAACTGGGAGGATGAAACCATGAAACTTTCCTGAAGTCACTGGATAGATGGACAAAGCCCGGACTTCAGTGACACCGAAACCATCCTGTCGGGATTCAGAAAGTCCAGAATAATTCTAACTGGAAACGAGTCTGACTACAGCTACACAGAAGAGGAAGCGGCGTTCTGTTTAACTCCGGAGGTCGCCGAGTTGCTCAGAAGTGACATCAACGATGAAAAAATCAATAGATTTAGTGATTTGGAGTGAGATGGAGAGTTATGTTCTGTTGTTTATGCTCTAGTTATCTGAATAACTTTTAATATGTTATGTTAACATACCAGACGCCTATTCAGCCTGTTGTTCACTGTTCTATTGTTTTTACTAGAACTTGCCTTTCAAGATGAAATGTCGGCTCCTGGTTTCTGATTTTATAAAATCAATTTCCACCAGAAAGTGTGACTTATAGCCCGGTGCGACTTGTAATCTGAAAAATACGGTACATGCCCCCTTCATCTATGAATGCAAAATGAGTCCAGTGATGGTTTATGGGCTGAAAAACTGCATAAGAGTTTGGAGTTTTATCTATGACGCAACAATCTGGGCAAATTCAAACTGAGCATTTTTGAGTGCTTTAGATAAAAGGATTAATGAAACAAGAGTGAATGAAACAAAAAAAGTCCAGGTGTGTGTTAGATGAGGGGACAACATTATAACATGTTTCAAAAGTCTAAAAAATATAAAACAATTTCATTTATAAACTACATTTGCATTCTGGTTCATTTGTTGCCCTTCACAACCACTGCATCTAAAAATGTGAATCCAAGTTTCAGTGTGATTTTTGTTAGTTTTTTAATATTACAGTAGAGTTGTATGTGGCTTAAAGGTGCATTATGTAACTTTTCTATCTTCTTATCATGAGAAAATGTTATTGCTTTTCACACAATGTTCCTATTATTTGGATTACACTTTTCTGTTACAGACTGATATTTATGACTGATATTTTGACTTTTTTGTATATCAGTTCAGATTTTTTGTTTTGGTTGATCTACTGCCAAAAACTACACACAAAACTTTTATATAAACACTTAAACACAAAGAGATAGCCGCACAAAACGTGACTACACAGCTCTCTCTCTCTTTTTTAAAATTTTTTTATTACAATTAACCTACATAATTTGGCGAAAATAATAAAAATCAAGCCTGTATATCGGCAAAGTTTATCAGCAATCGGTGTATTATTCGTTCATTCCTTTTTCAATATAAAACCAAAAATAAGAAAATGTAAAAGCAACAGTTTTCTTCATTATTTGTCTCCAAAACCAAAATGAGAAGATGGATAATGATAAATTTTTTTCAGTTTTCGATTTTGTTTTTAAATGAAGAAAGGAAAAAACGGATAACGTCCGTTTCCCGTTTACATGACTTCTGTGACTGCGATTCCGGACTTTTGCACCGCATACGGACTGAACCAGGACTGATCCAGGTCCGGGACCAGAGCAGACTCCGAGCTTTGACTCCAAACCTCCGCAGGGTCCGAGCCTCAGATTTGAGTTCCAGCCCTGCCGTGGGCTCTGAGCCTCCGGTCTGGTCCTGGTCTCAGTCCCGGTCTGGTCCTAGTCTCATACCCGATCTGATTCTGGTCTGGTCCCGAACCTGGATCAGTCCTGGTTCAGTCTGTATGCGTTGCAAAAGTCCGACATCGCAGTCACAGAAGTCACGTTAAAGGGAAACGGCCGTTATCCGTTTTTTCCATTCTTCATTTTAACACAAAATTGAAAACTGAAAAAACGAATCATTATTTGTTTTTTCATTTTGGTTTTGGAGACAAATAATGAAGAAAACGGTTTGGTTTTCTTATTTTTGTTTTTATATTGAAAAACAAATTAACGAATGATACACGGATTATCAGACATCAGTTTCTCTGTATTCTAAATCATCTGTATCAAAATCGGCCATGTTGGACAATTTCTAGTTTCGATCTCTTTGACCAATCAGCTTCGAGTATTTATTTGAAAATTCAGATCGTTGGTTCATTGGTGCTTTACCTCAGCCTCTCAGTCAGTGTTTTTTCTAGATGTTTACTTTCTACATTTGATTTACACATTTTTACTGGATGATGTAGCACGGAAGATAAAAGTAAAATAGCTCTTTTTCAACACCAGGTCGTTTCTATGGAGATTTCATTTCTCTGCCTGGAATGTTCCACAGTGTGACATTAAACATCTTACATCTATCTTACATTTATTCAATTACAGATGGTTTTATAGCCTCAACAATACCTAGAAAAACTACATTCTGACTGAGAGTGGGGTCACCTCTCCACAGATCTGACCTGTAACTTGGTCCGGTTTGGTCTCCATGAAGATAGAAAGGTTTAATGCGACACTGCGGAACATTCCAGACCAAGCAATAACATCTCCAAGAAGAAAAGTATGTGACGAACCCTCGGCCCGAAAAGTTACACAGTGCTCCTTTTTTAAAATGTGCTCGTTAAAATTTCACTCATTGTAGCTTTAAAGCTGCACTGTGTAACTTTTCTGATAACAGTCCCGCACCTGGTTGTGTCCATGGAGATATGCTTTACCTGGAAAGTACCACAGTATGGCATTAAACTTGCTTGTAATTTGACTATAGTTGTTTTTTTTTGTTTGTTTTTTACATTAAACCAATAATTTGATCAGTAGTGGCCCACCTCTCCACAGATCTGGCCTGGAAATAGCCAAGTTTAATCTTTATACTGTGAGGCATAGCAACATCATCTCCATGGTGACGGACCCTCCACCCAGAAAGTTGCACAGTGCATCTTTAGTTAGTTTTGCGAGGAAATGCCGTCATGTGCACTTTCATTAAAACATCTAGTTTGGGTGATTTACTTAAAGCTGCATTGTGTAACTTTTCTGGTTTGGGTCCGCCGCCATGGAGATGCTACTGCTTTCCCTGTAATGTTCCGCAATATGGCATTAAACTTATATAAGACGCATTTATTCAGTTCAATTTTAATGCTCAAAAATGGCTTTAAAAACCTGCATTCTGACTGCACAGATCTCGCCTGTAAATCGGCCTGGTGGCGTCTCTGGCTCGTCTCCATGGAGACTGATGAAGTTTAACGCCGTACTTTGGAACACTGCAGTCAACGCCATAACGTCTCCATGGAAACGAGCAACTCCTGATGGGAAAAGTTACATAATGCACCTTTTAACAAACGCGATATGAAGGATTTTTATTTTTGTTTCACTTTTTTTAACGAAAGCTGTGAGACTCGAGATGGGAATGTTATTTTAGTTATAATTAAAGTCTTTGTACCTGATTTTTTTCTGTCTTAAAAATTTGGAAAACACAGAAGATTTTAATTTTAAACAGTTTGCAGTGGTCCAAAGTTACTCCTCACTTACTTGATCCATTCTGAACTTTCTAATTATTCACAGAGTTTATGAGACTTTTCACAACTTTCAGACACCAGAGCTTCTTTCCTCGTGCTGAAACAGGACATTTGGCACAAAAACATGGTGAAAAATCAGGTACAGGACCTTTAACTGTTGTATCGTTTAACAGTGACATTCCGACTTGAGATCATTGGCCGGATTATGAGTTGTAATATTTTTTTTGTTGAAAAACCACTGGCTCGTTAGTGACAGTACTTTGGTGTAAAACGAAGGCTCCTGATTGGACGGTTGTCTCTGTCCTGTGTCGGCTGAGAGTCTGCGATTGGTCAGTCCTGTGTGATGTGTACAACCACTGCCTGATGTGTTTATAACTTTAATACATTATCAATAAAATCAACTATTTTGATATTGGCCCACATGTCCGAGCGTCTCACTGTGAAATCTGCAGCAGCATCATCATCATCAGCATCACACAGTTTGGTTAAAGTTCAGTCTGTGTCTCTGTGGCATGAGTTAAACAGTATCTGAGTACTACATACTGCTATAGTACTGCATACTGCTATAGTACTGCATACTGCAATAGTACTGCATACTGCTATAGTACTGCATACTGCTATAGTACTGCATACTGCTAGTAGTACTGCATACTGCTATAGTACTGCATACTGTTGTAGTACTGCATACTGCTATAGTACTGCATACTGTTGTAGTACTGCATACTGCTATAGTACTGCATACTACTGTAGTACTGCATACTGTTGTAGTAGTGCATACAGCTGTAGTACTGCATACTATTGTTGTACTGCATACCAGTATAGTATTGCATACTATTGTAGTACCGCTTTCTGCTGTAGTGCTGCATACTGGTGTAGTACTTCATACTGCTGTAGTGCTGCATACTGTTGTAGTACTTCATACTGTTGTAGTACTGCATACATCTGTAGTACTGCATACTGCTGTAGTGCTGCATACTGTTGTAGTACTTCATACTGTTGTAGTACTGCATACATCTGTAGTACTGCATACTGTAGTGCATACTGTTGTAGTACTGCATACTGTTGTAGTAGTGCATAGTTCTGTAGTACTGCATACTGTTGTAGTACTGCATACTGTTGTAGTACTGCATACTGTTGTAGTACTTCATACTGTTGTAGTAATATTGGAGGTTCTGGACTCTCAAAGACTCGTTACAGTTCATTATTCATTCACTCCAGACCCAGTGGTGGTAAAATACTATTGTAGCCACAGCTGCCCTGGGACAGACTGACAGAAGTGAGGCTGCCAATCTGCACCATCGACCCCTCCGACCACCAACATCACTCACACACACTCCACTTTTATACTAGGCAATGTGGGTGAAGTGTCTTGCCTAAGGACACAATGACTTTCCCAGAGTCTCCAAGTACCAACCAGGCCGGACCCTGCTGAGCTCCTGAGATCTGACGGGATCAGACTTTGACAAACTGGTATGGCCACACATTGTAGTACTGCATACTGTTCTAGTACTTATAGTCTAGTGCAACTTATATATGTTTTTTTTTCTTCTACAATATGCATTTTTTGGCTGGTGCGACTTATACTCCGGAGCCAGTTACAGTCCGAAAAATACGGTAATTTCTCCGTTACCGAAAATCTAGCGCCGTTAGTATTTTCATTATACTTAAACACCATTATTCCCAACACTGGTGACTGTGTTATTGTATTTCCATGTAGTACTTCCTCACATTAAGTTACTGGAAACAGGTTCAGTTGTGATTGAAGTACATTAAAAGTGCACTGCGTAACTTTTCTTGGAGAGAACTGTTCAGTCTGGAATGTTTCACAGTAAGGCATTAAATGTATCTATCTCCATGGAGACAGATCAGGTCGGTGGAGAGAATCACACAAGAATCCGTGTTTTTCAAGGTTTTTCTGAACAATTAAATGAAGCAAAAGCTGAACTGACTTTTAATGCCATACTGCGGAACATACCAAGCAAAGCAATGACATCTCCCCCTACCAGAAAAGTTACACAGTGCACCTTTAAACCTTCCTTTAAAGCTGCATTGTGTAGCTTTTCAGATGGGGTCTCTGCCAAATGCTTTTCTCCATGGAGATTTGATTATTTCTCTGGAATGTTTCGCAGTTTGGCATTAAACCTTTAAACCTATCTCCATGGAAACCAAACCAGACCAAGTTACAGGTCAGATCTGCGGAGAGGCGACCCCGCTCAGTCGTAACATCTGTTTTTCTAGTTATTTTTGAGCCATAAAACCACCTGTAATTGAATAAATGTAAAGTTTAATGTCACACTGTGGAACATTCAGTGACACATCCATAGAAACAAGCAGGTAGAAACAAGCCGAAAAGTTACACAGTGCACCTTTAACGAAGCAGTGAGGAGAGAAATCTGTGGCATCTGCTGGGCTTTAATTTGTATAACTTTACTGTAGTTTTACCTTCAGAAGTTGTAAAAACACCATCTGCTCTAAACAGAATGTGCATCAGAGACTAGACGGCAAAAAGATTGGCCAAAATTTAAAATATAAACACTTAAATCTATCAGAAAATTACTTAAAAGTAGTGAAATTATCCGTCCATGCAGCAAAAATACTTTACTTGACAAGTTATCTTAAAATAAACGAACTCTAGACTAAAATAGACGCAGCAAGAATCTCGGACTTCCAGTCATTGCGCAATTCATACTGGGAAGGATTTTCCGAAAAAGTGAGCATCAAATCGCCATGTTTGTTTTCCCAGCGGGATGCGTCTATTGTCAAAAAACGATATTTTCTAGTCTTTTGAACCATATCGCTTTTGTTTCTGGTTCTGATATTGTCATATTTTAGTTTTGGGATTCGAACATCGTAATTGTGTGGTTGTTGGATCCTAACAGCGGAAAACGGCTCGAGAAATTTGTTTGCGAACTTCATAAATGCAAAAGTGAATCAGATGTGTGTGACTCAAACCTCTGTTCAGACTGTTTCCCTTCCTGTTTCCTTGGGCGATGGGCAGAACTGATCCACAGGAAGAACCAAAAAGGAAACATCTGACTGCCTAAATCATCTCAAGTTTGCAGTGAACATTTTGTATGTGGAGCGACAACAAAGCAAAATCCTGTTTGTTAATGGAGAGGTGCAGAAGACAAACAGACTGAGCTGCACTTTCTTGTTCTTGTGGTTTTACAGCAACATCACGTCTTGGTCTCTTTGCAGTGGAAGGTGTTTCTTGGTGAACAGCTGGTGCCTTTTACTTTGGCGTTGACTTTTTAAATTCATAATCAAGGTTGAGCGAGGGATCGAGAATTTGCTTTGATGGCTCCACATACAAAATGTTCTCTGCAAACTCGGGATGATTCTTAGGCAGTCAAAGGTTTCCTTTTTGGTTCTTCCTGTGGATCAATCCTGCCCATCACCTTCACCTTTCACTATTTTTCAATTCTGTTGGGAAGAGAAACAGTTTGAACAGAGGTTTGCAGTCACACACATCTGATTCCCTTTTGCATTTATGGAGTTCGCAAGCCCATTTCTCAAGCCATTTTCCGCTGTTAGGATCCAACAACCACACAATTAACGATGTCCGAATCCCAAAACTAAAATATGACAATATCAGAACCACAAACAAAAGCGATATTGTTCAAAAGACTTGAAAAGATCGACTTTGTCAATAGACACATCCCACTCGGAAAACAAACATGGCGGTTTGATGCTCACTTTTTCAGAAAAACCTTCCCAGTATGGATTGCGCAATGACCAGAAGTCCGAGATTCTTGATGCGTCTATTAAGCCGTCTCTGAACTAGTAAGTAGATAATAAGTCTGAAAACAAAATGAATAACCTGATATACAGTAAGTTTTAAAGTCTAGGCCAGAGAAATTTGCAGTGTAGAAGCTGTCCACTCATCACCAGCGCACTTCCTGGTTTCCTTTAGAACACTATTTTCAGAAGAACTGCTGAGATCTGCTCTGCTGTGTCCACCAGCTTCCTCTCTGCATCCTGTATCTGATTTTTACTGTTTTAAAAATAGTTCATTTGTAACAGTGGTTTACAGTGGTCCAAAGTTATTCCTCACTCTCCGTCTGCATTCTGAGCATCCTCATGATTCGCTGTGTTGATATTTTAAGGCAAGTTTATTTGTAAAGCGCAAGTCGAACACAAAGTAATTCAAAGTGCTTTACAGAATAAGAAACACATTAAAATCACAATACAAACAAATCAAAACATAAATAATCAGAAAATTAATAAAGAGAGAGAGACATTAAATGAGAGAGAAGAGTGCGGAATAAAATATGGAAACCTTTCAGTCATTCGCAGATAAACCCAACTGTTTTGAGTCTGGATTTGTTCCAGGTTTTAGCTGCATGAATCTGAATCCCGTGTTCAGTCGTGACTCTGGACACCTGCAGGAGGCTGGTCCCTGAGGCGCTCCAGAGCTGTTTTCAGAACAGTGTCGGTGCCGGTTCCTGCATTAGTTACACTGGAAACCAAAGTTCTGACCAATTTTCAAACCATTTCAGTGAACCCATGATACGTCATTGACAGAAGGTGTGGATTTGTCAACAAATAAAAACAAGGCCATACAAAAGCAAATGTCACACACAGGAATCAGAATACACAAGACGGTTTGCAAGAACCCCAGAAGTTGTAGACCGCGCACCCTGCAATCAGAGAAGAGCTGTGAAGCCATGACATCAAACTCGTCGCGTCTGTCTGGGTCCCTTTTTGTGGAACAGCACAACAGTAAACAAAGTGTTGAGATGGATGTAGACAAAGACAGACATTCTGTGTTGGCAACGATTCCCGAGATCGAGGATTTAAAGCCGGAACAAAGAGAATGTTTGGTGAATTTTATCAAGGGGAAAAACGATTAGTTAAATAAAAACAGTACCCACCTACTGTCGAGCGAAGGAATCCTAATGCTGTGAGGTCAGACGGTTTCTACAAAGTGAGACTGTCTGATCAACCAGACTAATATCCAATGACAATGAGGCAAAAATCTTTGGGGGGCTTCGAGGGTGCATTTACCTCAAACCCTGACACCGCAGTAATACAAAATACTTTTACTTTTCATTTAAAAATGTAGTGAGGTAGAAAGGACACATATCTGCTCTCAAATGTGGTGAAGTAAAAGTAAAAAGTATCCACGTTAAAATGTACTTAAATAAAGTACAGATACCTAAAAATTTTAATTAAATATTTATTTATTTATGTTCAACCCCTGAATGTAGACTAGGCTTAACAACCCTATTAGAAGAATATAAAGCATCACAGTGGGTTAAGTGACTTGCCCAAGAGCACAAGGGCAGGGTGTTAATAGCAGGAGTTTAGCTCGTTGGTGACTAATACAAAAAGTTAAATGTCTCATCTGCTCTGTGTTAATATGAAATCACAGTGTGTGGCTCCCTCTGCTGGTGAAATGTGAGAAACTCTTGAAGACTAAAAACAGGGATAATTTAATCATTTCCCATCCCATAATATCTCATTTGCCCTGAATTCTGCCTGGATGACTGGGGAATTTTACACATATTTTATTTATGTGTTTATTGTTTTAATTCTACAGACTTAGACTTAGGCAAACTTTATTGATCCAAAAAGGGAAATTATTTGGAAGTTGTATATTTATTTTATATAATAAAAAGATTTATTGTGTAAAATTAACATTTCCATTTGTTATGTTAATGTGAATAAACTATTCCCTGTTATTTATGATATTATCCCATCGACACTAATGGCACAAGGCAGACGCTCAGTCACTAGGTGGCGGTAATGAGACGTAACCCTCCACAGCAGAAGTAGAGGCCAGAGCTGCGCATGCGCGACACACACGTGAGACACCAAAACGGATTTAAAACTGTTTTTTTCTGCGTGTTTTTTGCGTATTATCTTCAGATTTTTCTGTTTGATCTGCTGCGTGGAGAGGCTCTACATCTACGTCTACGTCTACAGTCACTTATAAGAGGTATGTTTATGACAGATTATCCGCTTTCACGTGTTTGACACGATACATGTGAACATGTTTATTTAAAAATGTCCTTTTCGCTTCAACTGTACAGGCACAAACGTGTACGTGAGCCTGTCTGCCTGACATACATCATATCATTGTCTGTACATGTCACAGATCATCCAGAATAACATGTCCCAAATATTTGTGTTTGTTATAGTCAGATCGTTACCACATAAAACAATCTGAGGAAACTAACACATATATGTTTTTATTTATTTTACTGGTGTTATATTTTATATGAAACTCTGCACAGTACTTGGAACAGACATGCAGTAGTCAGTACAGTGAACACAGGAGGGTCTGTGTACATAGGTGGTTCACTGGAGTAGACTCGGTCCTACAGCCTCTTCTGCTTTAACTCACGGGACACGTCCTCTGGACACAGACAAACCTGCATTAGCTGGAGGTACCAGTGGGCCAAAAGTCTCAGTATATTCTGAGTCACTCCTGTCAGACTTATTTTGTGAAACAATTTCCAGTGTTTGACATGGACACGTTTCTAATGATTTCTTTTAAAGCAAATGTGCATAAATCTGTACTATGTTTTGGTTTATCACCAAACTGGTTTTCTGAGGAGCTGATAAAATCTTGTTTTCAACCCAACAATATACTTTCTGACTTTGCCAGTGTAACAGGCCTGTCATGGCCCACACTGCCCATTCTAGCAGCCCTGGGACAGTCAGACAGGAGGAGTCAGGGAGAAGAAGTGAAGATCTCAGTATAAACACAATTAAAGGTCTGTGAAAGTTGTCTGTGGAACTATATTATACAAGATTCACTTTTGTGAGGTTTTGGACACTAGAATGTTGTTACCTTATCAAAAATATAGCCAGAGTTGTGTTTTGTTTCATTCGCACATGTTTAAGTAACTCTTTATGTCTGCATCTTTGTGTTTTCAGTCTGATAGAAGAACTCAGCCTAAATCTACAGGTTTGTGTGTTAAACATGTGAATGAAACAAAACACAACTCCAGGTCTGTTTGAGGAAACTACATTAATAAAAATAATAATAATATGGATCCTTTAAACACATATTTTATTACATACACACCTTTTACCTAATAAAGAGATTTAATAATTATATTTGCACACACAGAAAAATGGTGGTAGTAGAATCAGCTCTTCAAACGTTATAATGCAGCTGAGTCTAATCACGGGGACAGATGTTGTCAGGATTATTCTTCTTCGGTGTCGTCTTTTTGGGTGGAGTCTTCCAGGTCACTTTGACTCCTGGTTGGTTGAGTTTCTCTTCCATCTATTAAACACATAAACCTTTAGAAAACCGTAGTAACAAAGAACAGAGGCGTATAGTAGACAAAGATGTACCTTCTGTGTGAGCAGCCTGTAGTTGTTTGGGTCAGACATGTCCAGATCAGAGCGGAAAGACACCTTCACTACAGTGTACTTGGTTTGTTCTTTCTTCTCTGTCATCTCATCTAACAAGGAAACAGAAGAACAGTCAAGATGAGTTTTGTTTTTTCCCCAAACATCACATGTTACAGTTCACTGTTACTTATCATTATTTACTTATTAACACACAGGCTAATAAAGTGTGGGTGTGTTACCTGCTTTGTAGCAGAAGAAGGGCAGTCTCTGGCTGCAGCTCACAGGTCTCCAGATGTGGTTCTGATCCTCCACACCGCACATGCTGGTGTTGGAACGCCAAGGGTTCACACCCCAGTATGAAAACTGACCCAGGCTGCTGTTATCAGACCACTTCCACGGTTTCTCCATCTGACCGATATAGCCATTTATACAAGTACCAGAATATAATTTTGAAGACGCCTCGTTGTTTTCAGCTTCACTCTCGATCAGGGCCAGGTCTGTGTAGTTTCTCTGCAGAACAGTTGAGCAACAGCATAGTTGCAAAAAGAGTCGATGAGGAAAAAACTTTTTCCCATTAAAATCTGAAAACAATCATAGGCTTTACTATAAAAAACGTATTTGTATAAAATGTTATGTATTTAAATTCTGCCTTTTGTACAGTTGGAAACCAGTGTAATGGATAATACAGGCGCATTTACAGAAATGTTTGAAAGGCTTAATATGCTTTATCCCTGTTCAAAAAATAATAAAATAAATGAATACATTTGCTCCATAGACTTTATTTGATATAGGGCACTATAATATGAGTGGAGAGGACATTCAGCTGATTGTAGGAGCTGCTAGAACTACACAAATATAATAATAATAATAATTATTATTATAAAGCTATTGAGAGGTGACACATTTCAGTTAATTTAGGAATGTGTTGATCATGAGACAAACCATACCTGAGTAACAAAGAAAGCAATCCCTCTCGCTACAAGGAAGCTCTGACCACGTTCCATCCCTACTTCCTTTTGGACACACATCTCCTTTGTAATAGTAGTCACGCCTGTTATCCCACTTATGAAAGGCCACAGGAGAATAGAACAGTCCGATCCAGGCGTCTCCGGAGTACGAGTCTGTTCTGATCAGTTTGTTCATGTCCTCCATGTTCCGGACAGTGGCCAGGTCGGTGTAGGTCTCTCTGCAGAACCTCTGTGCCTCTGTCCAGCTCAGATTCAGATTCACAAAGTGGAAGTGACGACTCAGCTCCTGAGCCCATGTCTCCACACACAGCCCTGAGCAACAGTTTGTTTGAAATGATTAAAAACACATACAAATGTCGTCATGTTTGTAAAATCAGTCTGAACTTACCACACAGAAGGAAAACCAGAAGCAGTTTGTCATTCATTTTGTTTCAACTTCACACAACAAAATATCATGTATTACTTCTAGTTCTGTAAAAAAGTTCCGTGTCATGATCCGTCTCCAAAGTGACGGTTCAGTGAGTAATCGCCTTTTATAATACAAGTCCAGGAGGCGAGGAATTATAAGTATGTATGCAAATACACACAAGGGCGATGTTTTCCCTGTTGGAGCCACATGTTTGAGAAATACTGTGTGTGTGTGTGTGTCTGTGTGTGTGTGTCTCTCTGTGTGTCTCTCTGTGTGTGTGTTTACACGTGTGTCTGTCTCTGTAAGTAATTACGTTTATGTTTATATAGCAGTTTTCGCAAACATGTCACTAAAACACTTTACAGAGCATTATTCAGTCACTCCACACTCTGTGGTGGTAAACTACCACTGTTGCCACAGGTGCCCTATGGCAGACTGACGGAAGCGAGGCTGCCAGTCTGTGCCATCAGCGCCTCCAACCACCACCATCACTCACGCACACTCCACTTTCATACTAGGCAATGACAGTTTTTGCGACTGGCGCCCCCTGTGGCACCTGAGTTTCCAGTGTCTCTCTTCCAAGTTCTAACCAGGTCCAGTCCTGCTGAACTTCTGATCTGACAGGATCAGACTTTGACAAACCGATATGTGTCTGTGTCTGTTTAAATACTGTAATCTGTGAACATCTCCAGCATTTGAACTGCACAAATCTAATGCTAATATCGACATCATGGAATTGATTTTTAAGTTTAGTTCTAGAATGAGTGAACTAGTTACTTATGTTTTATTCATTACCATAGTCATTGTTTGTGGAACTTGTTGGTTGAAAATTTGGTGATGGTGCGGATTTATGAAGCTGGTGGAGAATATACGAAACATTTTCACAGACATTTTGCCACAGAAAACCATTAACCTGAAGTCTCACAACCCTACAGAGCGGGACTTCCGGCTGTTGTGAAAAAGGTCTGTTGCTGCAGGGAAATACTGCAGTAATTGATGATATTGAAACTACTTTATGCCACTGACACAACAATAAAGCCAAATAATCCCAGTGAAACATTTTAAATAGACAGTATCATTAAAAAGCCTGAACTGCAACAAAGAAATAACAGAATGAACCAATAATTAGCCATAGACATTGGTTATTCCACCCTCTACAGCTCAAAAATGCTCAAAATCTCTTCATTTTTATAAAGTAAATGTACAGATCATAAATATACAGTCCCAGAATATATTGTTCCAGCTTTCATATGAAAAAGATTAAGTTGATATAGTAATTATCATGACAGGCGTAACATCAATAGAAATCTTGGGATCTTTTTTTTGTCATTTTAACCTGGGCACTGAGGGCTTTGGTTTGTATGGTCTTCTTCTAAAGATGTTACCTCCTCACTCACTGAGGTCATTCTTGTTTTGTACCTGTAGTTTGACACCTTTTTCCGGTTGAGAACCATGGTCTCAGATTTGGAGGATCTGCTTTTCATCCCCGCCTCAAACAGTTCCAGCGAACGCTGCAGGTCCTGGTTTGATGAAGCCATTAGGACAACATCATCTGCAAACAGCAGAGATGAGATCCTGTGGCCCCCAAACCGGCCCCCCTCCGGCCCCTGACTGCACCTAGAAATATAAACACAAATATAAACTGTCCATATAAACGGTGAACAGAACCGGTGACAAAGAGCAGCCCTGGTGGAGTCCAACATGCACCAAGAACAGGTCTGACTTACTGCCGCCAATGAACACAGCTCCTGCTCCGGTCATACAGGGACCAGACAATCCTTAGCAAAGGGCCCCAGACCCAATACTCCCAGAGCACCCCCCACAGGACACCACATGTGGACTGGTTGGACAAACTCCCATGAACCCTTGAGCATCTGATGGAGAGTGTAGAGCTGGTCCAGTGTTCTGCGACCGGGACAAAAATCACACTTTTCCTCCTGAATCCGAGGTTCGACTGTTGGTCTAATTCTCTCTAGTCCCTGGAATAGACGTTACCGGGGAGGCTGAGGAGTGTGATTCCCCTGTAGTTCTGACCATCCGGTCCCCTTCTTAAACAGAGGGACCACCACCCCGGTCTGCCAGTCCAGAGGTACTGTCCCCGATCCCTCGTGGGGGAAGGCCCAGCCACCAAACACACCCACCCCAGGCCTGGCTCGGTGGGGGGCCCCAGTAACACCAATCCGGGCGACTTAACTGGGCTTTAGGGCTGTCGAACAAACAAACGAACAAAACAAAAGACATTTTAAGTAAGTTGTGGCTAGATCTGACCTGAATATTACATTGTGTAACAACACTGCCAGGTATGTTTTTGATGAGGAAACGACATTATAAATGATCAGAAAATAGTGTAATAAAGGCCCATTAATGTTGTGCCCTGAAAAAGCCCACGCCCCGGCCACAATAACAGACATTTACTTCATGCGAGAGGGCCTCAGATATGTTTTTGTGTCTCCAGTAGTTTACACAGGTCTTATATCTCTGAAGAGGACTACTGACCCCTCGATTTCACTCGACCGTCACCTCATTTGCAGAGTTCCATTTATTTTTGAGATAGGCAAACTAAAAGATGTTATCAATGGACATTTGGATTTAATTGCCTTCCAAGTTCCCTCTAACCATAAAACCAGGGCACTGTGTTTGTCTGTTTTACATGTTTTGGCTACTTCCTGGAGCCTGCGTGAGAAGAGCTGCAGGATCATGATGTTTTGTGTCTTGTTTATGACAAAGTGAATCTAACAGAGTTGGAATCAGTAACAGACTTCAATTTTTCTTTTGCTTTTGTAAGGTCCAAACATTTGTGAAGCCGTAGTTGACGCTTTGTGCACCTTGTTCCACCTTTTAAAATGCCTTCAAAAATAAAAGAATCCACGGAGAGCGATCCAAGTGCAGTTAAAAACTCTTTACTGAATATTCACATAAATGGGACATACAAATACATACAAAAAAGGGGAACTTTTTAACATACAGGTGACAGGAGGTCAAAACTGTTTGGCTCCACTCCACACTCCCATGGTGCACCTGCACGCGCCTTAAATAAGGAGCCATAGACCACAAAATAATACAAAAAATAAACATTACTTAAGTAAACTTAATCTTAAACTTAAGCAATTTAGCAATAATTAATTGAAAGAAAAATGTAAATAAATCAAATTATTTTGTAGCAAATAATCAACAAATAATCATGTGAACCATAAAGAATTACCAAAATACCAAAAATCATGCATTTTAAGTAAATATTAAATCAAACAAAACAAGAATAATTATCTCAGTAATGAAAAAAACTACAAAACTGGGTTTAGGCTCCCACAGCTTTGTATGCAAAATGTTGATTGTAAATGGCATAAACATGATCAAACTGTGTCTCCAGATTTGGAGTAAACATGTTCAAATCAAATATAGTTTTTACTGATAACAATTCTAATGCTGATTTATTCTTATTTACAGAAACATTGGACATGACGTCCAAGTTGGTGTTTTGGTTTTCAAGACGAACATCCAATCAGAAAGCAGAATGAGTCTCATTTCTGTTGCCATTTTGCTGAAATCCAGTTGGTTTAAACGTAAAAGGACTCTCCCTGATCTGAATTCTCACTTAGTTAAAACAAAGTTACCAGTGAGAAGTATTTGACTTCCATAAGACATTTTGTCTTGAGTACTGCTCAGTGTTAATGTGTGGCACAGGAAAGACCCTGGTCTCCAAAGCCTCCAGGAGCCACACGCTCTGTTCATCTGCAGCAGCACAAAACACCACAGCACTGTTATTATATTCTGCCTACAGCCTATGACGCCAGGCTGTCTGCTAAACCTTTTTACTGCAAGTTAGTAGTAGTAGTAGTAGTAGTAGTTTTTGCATACTCCCCCTGCAGGTGTAGTCTTGTGAGTGCAGTTTGGATCAGATACACAGATACATAAGGGTTTGTCAAATACAGTGTGCAGTTATTATCACTACTAATGAAACTATTTGTTGATTTGATTCTCGTCTCTTTTCACACAGGGATGTCGTGTTTTGCTGGAGACCCAAACTTCTGCCCTGAGTGTGGCACAGTGCTCCCTCTGCCGGGCATACAGGACATAGTGCGCTGTCCCCGCTGCTCCTTTAGCATCCCGGTCAAAGGTGGGACAGAGAGCATGTCTGCAGGTCGACCTGTGGCCCTAACACAGCCTAACTCGTGTGTCTCGTGTGCAGAGTTTTCAGGCAGAGAGATCCGCTCCACTGTGGTGTTCAACCCAGAGAAGTCCAGTGTGGCTCTGGAGGAGGACGAGGACTCAGAGCTCAAGGGACCTGTGGTGAGTTTAAAGGATCCATATTACAGCTTTCTGAGCAATGTTATAATGTTTTTCCTCATCACAAACAGACCTGGAGTTGTTTTTGTTTCATTCACACAAGTTTAACACATAAACTCTGCTGAGAAAACACTGTGGGTTTGTTTTTGATGAGGTAAAAGCATTATAACATGACTAAAAGTTCACAAGAGTCCATTTACGTAATGTAGGACCTTTAATATGATTTACACCAGTGATTCTCAGACTTTCAGCATCAAGCACCAATTAACTTAATATTTAGCTTTCCAAGTACCACCAGATCTAAACCCGGACCCAAATTAGGGCCAAAGAGGGTAAAAAAATGGAGTATACTTGCTCTAAAATTAGTCTAAACAATGCTTAGTTCTGAATGATGACTAAACCAAAGGACGTCAATAACATGAATAGATCTGTGTCTATTCTATGTTTGTGTGTTAAACGTGTGAATAAAACAAAACTCCAGACGACTCCAGGTCTGTTTTTGATGAAGAAACAACATTATAACATCATCGTCATCATCATTCCGGACTCATGGTCCATTTTTAAAACAGACAAGGACAGTGACATTACAAAACAACAAACATTTGTGTTTTTAAAAGAGAATCACACCAGTGTCTCCACATATTGGACTGATCTTATTGCACTGAATCTCATATTTGTGAGTGACATTATTATTTCATTGTCTGATTTGTTCAGCCTGCAAATAAAACTGTACATTAAAATTAAAATTCTTAGTGCAGTGTTCATTCGTGCAGTAACAAACATTTCAGTCGCACTCGTCCATCGTGGCCTCCTCAAAAGCACCAGTAAAGCTTCACTGTGGCACCTGCAGTCTTTGCACACTGGCTTTTTTATAATCAGTCCAGAGGTGAGCTGTGTACAACGATGAACAATATGTTTTAAACAATAACAACTTTACATCCTTTGTACAAGAACCAAACTTATGCATAAGAGCAGGGGTGTCAAACTCATTTTGGTCCGGGGGCCGTATCCAACCGACTTTGATCCCAAAGGGGCCGGATCAGAAAACTCACATCATATAAACCCCAAAAATAACAATAAGTTCAAATATTTGTGCAGAGAAACACAAATCTGTTACAGAAATCTTTTTTAATTGATGAACTCTTGTTCATCTTGCTATTTCAGCACAATGTTTTAAATTAACTTGTGTGCAAATAGAAATAAGTAAATTTTTTTTAGAAAATCCTGCACTCGGCTCCACTTTTCTCATTTTTGACATTTTGCTGATGAGAGTGTCACGGTCAACAGTCAAAACGATCGTCCTTTAAAAGAGGCAAGTTTGGAAAGAGGCAAGTCTTCATTTGTGCTGCTCTGGGGGAGGCGTCCACACACAGAGGCGCTGGAGACGCTGCTGTGTTAAGAAAACTAACATTATTTTAATAGAAAACATAATTAAAATATTTCAGTAGAAAATCAGCCGAGGGCCGGATCTGGCCCCTGGGCCGTATGTTTGACACCCGTGCATAAGAGTATTTGCCTGAGCATAGAGCGTCCTACACTGTCTATACACATCATCATCATCTGTCATGTCCACAGTGATGATCTGCCCCAGATATTTAATTTTTGTTGTAACAGACGACACAACATTTGACAGGCAAAAGTCAAGAAATCTCATGTTCTTATCTTCTTTGGTCCTACAGATCATGATCACACTCTTTATTGCATTATACTTTATATCACATAGATTATAACATACATTTATAACATACATTTTATAACATAGTGTAATATGGGCACTTTAAATGTAAATAACTGATACAACACTCATGTCCCTCCCTCAGATCGACCGGCGCTGTTCTCGATGTAACAAAGAAGGGATGGTTTACCACACCAGACAAATGCGCTCGGCCGATGAGGGACAGACTGTGTTCTTCACCTGTATTCACTGCAGGTAAGACTCTGGGACACGACCGTGAACCAGAGATTGGTATTAACATGAATTATTATTATTATTATGTGCTGAAAATCAAATCTGAATCTTCTCTATTTTGTTGTGCTTTGTTGACAGATACCAGGAGAAGGAAGACTCATGAGAAGACCTTTTATTATTATTTTTATTTTGGCATCAGCTGTCACCATTATATGTAAATAAGACACATGCATTTCAGTTACTGTAAAATACCAAATAATAAACGCCGGGTGTATGTTTTGATAAATAATTGTTGGTTCCAAATAAATGCTGACAAAGAAACAAATCAAGGAAGAAGATGTGACCACTGACGCTGCACGTTTGACTCGGAATGAATAAGTTAAAAGAATTTGGGTACCATATTTTCCCAGTTTCGCTGAGCAAGATTAGCCAGGTTGGCGCCACCTAGAGCCTCTGCTCAATTTAATTTCTCTCCAGCGACTAGATCAGGAATCAAAACACAATAGATACATATAGAGACATATATTCTGTATTGTTTACGTTTCCCAAGATTGAGGATTTAAAGCTGGAACAAAGAGAATGTTTGGTGAATTTTATCAAGGGAAAGACGTTATTGTTCTTCTTCCTACGGATTTGGTGCATTACATACGTCACGACCAAACAGCAGCGATTGGTTAAATAAAAAAGTACCCTCCTACTGTCGAGCGAACGAATCACTGCGAGGTCAGACGTTTGTACGAAGTGAAATGAAGTAAAACTGGCTAGAGCAAGATTTTTGTGAGGAAGAAATGAATCGCCTGGTCTCAAATAATTGCCTGGTCTGAGAAGTGATTCAAACAAATAAACGCCCTGGTTATTATTTGATATTTTACGGTAGTTTACAAGCGCTTTTCACAACTTTCAGAGACCAGAGCGGAGTTTTTTAGTGATAACTAGCATGTTAACAGCGTATTTCCTGATGTGGCAGACTAATTTTGCCAGACAGATCTAGTACAGGACCTTTAACTGATCAGAAAATAGATAATATTGTAAATGTTGTCAAAATCTGAATATTTAATGTATCGGTCCAAATAAAAAAGCAAATAAAAATAAGAAACTGATAAAACTTTCAAATAAGGGTTTTGAGTTCCATCTAATTTTGACTCGTCCTTTGGTGATTGGAAGGACTTAGGGATACACTGTATTTGAGATTTGTATATTAATGGCACTTTTGCCTCTTTTGCACAATTAAAAGGAAGTATAATCTACATGGCAATATTTTTTTTAGATATTTACAGATCAGGGATTATGCACGGAAACTTCTGACATCTTCTTGAAACAGAGCAACAGTCTCCAACTGATGATTACTTAAATACTTCTCGAGATGAATTCAAATTATTTCTTGTATATATAACAAATTATCAACAATTTCCTTTCCATCCTCCAACAAATACAAAGAAAGTTGTAAACATCTGGGAAGACTGCCTTGAATCTATACATTTATGCTCCAATAATGCAAAACACTGTCTCATACAACTCAAAATTATACATAGACTTCACTATTCAAAAGTGAAAATCCATAATATTTCCCCAGTGTCTCTTCAGCTTGTGATAAATGTCAGTCCTTCGATGCAGCGCTGTAGCATGCATTTGTCTCGTGTCCAAAAGTGGCCGCCTACTGGTCTGATGTGTTTGATACAATATCGCAGATTGTTAAAATGACATTATTGCCAGAACCTTTGTTTATTATCCTTGGTACATCAGAAGTATTTAATAATATGACATCAGACCAAAAGCAGTTCATTTCTTATTGTTTTATTAATGCAAAGAAATTAGTCTTAATGTCATGAAAGGGGCCGTCAGTTCCAAGCTCTAAAATGTGACTACGAGACCTTGTCATCTAGAGACAATACGATATTTGTTAAAGGATAAACTACTGTCAGGCTGTTAGGTTTGTTCTCAGTTTTGTGAGATTAATTTTTATTTTTACTTTTATATATTAAAAAGTATTGAGTGCTGTTGATCCTGTACAATTTGAGTTATACTGTTTTTGGCTCAATAAAAATCCATCCATCCAGTTTCTGTTTCTTCAGCTTATCCGGGGCCGGGTCGCGAGGGCATCAGTCTAAGCAGGGACT